AAAAAAAAAAAAATGAATACGTAGACTTATTGTACAAAACAGTGTAATTTTTATATTGATATAGTTTTCTCGTGTGGAATAAAGCAAAACAAAATATCATTTCGAGGATATTTGGGAAGAAAATAAAGTACCCAAATTTCGAATAATATAAAATATCATATTTGCGAAGAAAATTAAAGTACCCAAATTTCGAATATTATAATGTGCTTCAGCTGTATTCTCATTTTCAAGAGTTGAAAATTTTTATGTGGATATATCCCAAGGGTACATAAATTGGAATATTATTATATTGCGCTTCAACTATGAGTATAAAAAAATTTGCTGTTACATAAGAAGAATGCATAAACGGAATATTATATTATGCTTCAAAATTATCTCTATTTATATAAAAAATAAAAACTATGTTTATATAATGACATAGTAAATATTTATTGTGAGATTCAATATTATTAATACTTAAATGTACAAATTTTGTATACAAAATATTTATTTTTGTTACTTTTATGTATATTAATTTATATGTCAAAAATATTATATATATATATATATATAATTTTAAAATTAATCTATCCGGTTCATCAATTGACCCCGATAACCCGACGGTTGAACCGGTGACCCGGAGTTGTTATTCGGTCCAAAGAGCCCACTCAAACTGATTTATGCTCCGGATCGACCCATCAGGCCGGTCCGAGTCACAAAACAATGATTGGATGGACAAAGTCAAGAAATTTGAGACAAGTGCGGTCTATCTACTTTTTTTGCAGTGTAGAGCCCACTAAGGTTTAGATTTAATAAAACGTGAAAGTTGTGCATATAAATAAATATTTTTTATTATTCGTTACTGTTCGAATGATGGGAATTTTGTTAACTTGTTCCTTTACATAATAACAAGTCACGTTTTCGAGTGATATTTACCCACCGTCCGCTTTCAGTTATTAATGGTATTATTTCTTCGAAATAAAGTAACTTCTGTCTTGTTAAAACAAATGAAATATAGATCAATTTTAGAACAGCTAAATTTTGATAGTGTTATGAAATACGGGGAATATAAAGAACACAATGTATAAAAACCGGATACAAATT